ATATATATATATATATATATATATATATTCTCTATATCTAAATACTTCCGTTTATATAAAAAAAAATTATATATCTAAATATTTTCTCATTATCGAATATACTAATTTCTTTTTTATATAAAAAATTATCTTATGTTTCTATATTTTCGTTTTTACATATTTTTTTATAATGACTGAGATATTTGATCCATTTGGATAACCAAGATATATTTGATCTTGTATGATTGGTGTGCTTCTAAAAATAATAATATAATTTTATTGATTTTGTCTCTTATCTATAATTATTTATATAACTAGTTTTCAACATATATTGTTTTAGTAATTCAAATGGGAGATTCACGAGGAAATAATAAAGAAAAAGGAAAAGAGAAAGAAAACTATGAATTTTGGATCAAGGAGGATTCCAATGAATTGTTATAATTGATAGTGGATACTATAAAAAGAGGACAAGATATTATGGAGAATTATCATTATTATTTATCTAGACATTATTATTTTTGTCTTTGACTCTTTTTGAATTTGAATATATACATTTTTTTAAATCTTATCAAATGTCAAAAACTTCACAAAATCCCACAGAGTACATTAAAATCCTGATTTAAAAGTCTTGCAGAATCCATTAAAATTCTTATTTTAAGTCTTATGGAATCATGCAAAATCTTAAAAGTCATGAAAATCCTGTAAAGTCTTTTAAAATCCGCAGGATTTTTTTTAACTAAAAAAGTCATTTAAAATCCTAATCCAATACACCCCCTTAATTAATTAATGATTTTGATAAATCTTAGGTTTTGAATATACAATTATATTATTTATTTTTTTAAAAAAAGCATTGACTTCTATGATGACTTTATTTAGCTCGAACACAATTGTCTCCCTTATAAATGTTATCACGTTCTCTCTCGAATTTTGTTTTTCTATTATGCTCCATAGATGGCTTTTTGAGTACATAATAGGGTACATGTGTAATTTACACACTGTCTTGTCTCTGTGATGAGATAAGTGGTCCTATTTAATTTCTATGTAACTTTTGACAAGCTGTTTGGGTTGAGAATACAATGGCCCCACACCCAACTAAGCCTCTCCCATTTCTTGCACCCATCCCACACCCACCTTTAAAAGCACCCTCAATTGCCTCTTTTATTATAGGAGCGTAGGCTTGCAATCACACAAGAATCATAAGATGAAGATCAGTGTCCCAAATTCTACCACTTGGTAATAAACCTTCCTCATTTTTTTCTTTCTACCTTCATTCCCCTCTTCCCTCTCTAGCTCCTGTTCTTGTTTAGAGTCAGAATAACTCCTCCTATGTACCAACTAGCTAGTGGCATCATAAAAAGGTGCATGCTGAGCAAGATGGAGAAGCAGGGCACGTGCAATTCTAACTCATGAACGCACCTTGAATGAAACCAACCCAGAGAATCACATGCTTTATTTTTTCTGCTTTTCACCAACCAGATAGATAGTGAGTTAGTCCTTCATGTGCCCCTCTTCCCCATCATGACGGCAGCACCTTAAATAGCATTTGGAAAATGGGATTTTGATTTTGTGATCGATGCTCCACTTTCAAGGTCAGTTACAATATTCTCATTCTCATCTTTCAATATTATTATTCTCAATAGTATATAGCATGTCTTATGCAATAATATGTGGTTAAGAATATTTCAACTTAGTATAAGTCAAAGTAAATTAGTAATTAATCGGATAAACACCGAAGCTTATCAAGGATATGAAGTGAGTGGCTTGGAATCTTGGTTATGAGATGAAAATATTTACTGAACTATAAGAATAAATGTCATTAGGTATTATAGATATTGATCAAGTGATGAAGGGTCTGATTTGTATTCACAGTAGTTTGTCATTTTAGCTGGAAATAAAGAAAAAAAAATTACACAAAAATCAGCATGCAAGAAGGTCATGTTTAGTTTTAGCAAAATGATGCATGGACCACTCCATCCTATATATATATTTCACGGCTAGAAAGAAAAAGAGAAAGAAGAGAGAGAAGTTTAGGTGTAATAAGTGAGCGTTTGGTTAAAATTAAAAAATGTGTGTATGATCGCATATAGGACTTTGGTCTAAAGCTAATTTTCAAAATTTGCATCAAATACGCAAGTTTAGAAGAGTAGATGCAGAACCAAGTATACACTTAATTTCCTTATCGTCTAAATCTATGTCGGTTCTAGAATCATTTTAAAGAGTTTAAAAAGTCCCTACTACAATAGTGTTACTATGGTGTTTGTGACGTGGAAGCGCGTATAACATAACAGTAATTTTGTATAACATAACTTGTTAATTATTAGCTAAACATAGACACACGCCCTTTTCAAAGTGGCACAGATGAAGTTGACTCGCTTTCAATGGTATGTGAATTATGAATCAGAATTGTGTCAGTGGAAAGCTTAGTATTATTATATTGTAAAAGTGAAAACTCATCTTTTGAATAGCATGCTTGTTCTTTTTCACTGGTTTAACATTGGAGAAATGTTATGGTTATTATATATTGCTATGAAATTGACACTCGTAAGTTTATTTTTACTAAAAGATTGCTAGCTGTGCTGATTTTCACGGGGAGATCACCGTGATACCGACCAAGCCTTTGAACAAGACAAAATGAGAATGAGAAAGTATGTTGTTTCTTTTGTACTATATGGGGATTACGAATGATCTATTACCATACGAATCCCACGAAAAGACATGGGACATTATTTCATTGAACAAAAGCTAAACAAAAATATATAAAAAGAATCTGTGTTTCGACGGAAATCATGGGTACCCATGTATTTACGTTTGTACGAATCCGTAATGAGAAGCATTTCCCATACATATACGAACAGATAGAAATAAAAGATACTATTTTCTACTTTATTCTACCCATTTCTTTAACGTTACGCGCATTAAGTTTAGCCGTTGGATGATATTTTTACTCATAAATTTTCTCCACAAAATTAAGTTCTAGGTGTTCAACTACTCAAAAAAAAAAAAAAAAAAACAACAACAAAAAA